CCGCCCCGGGCCTGGGCTCGCTGTGGACTCGTCATGGCGACCGCGGAGAGGCCTTTCCACCTGGTGGTGTTCGGCGCCTCTGGCTTCACCGGCCAGTTCGTGACCGAGGAGGTGGCCCGGGAGCAGGTGGACCCGGAGCGGAGCTCCCGCCTGCCCTGGGCCGTGGCGGGCCGCTCCTGGGAGAAGCTGCAGCGAGTGCTGGAGAGGGCGGCCCTGAAGCTGGGTAACCGGGCGGCGTGGGACGGGGCTGCGGCCGGGACCCCGCCGCGCCCGGACCAGCGTGTCCCCCGCAGGGGGCGCCCTGCGTGTGCCCGAGCCCTGCTCGAGGACTGGACGAGGCGAGGGCGGGGTGTTTCCAACACTGCCGCGGCCTTGTTCCCCGTCCTTAACAAAAAACAAACTACGTGTGTGGGGGGGGTGAAAAAGAAAACATTAAAGCCGAAGCGTTCTCGGCGTGGGCCACCCTGGGTCCGCCGCGGTTTTCTCGCTCTCTGCGCACCCCCTTCGTGCAGCCGGAACGACTGGCTGCCGCCTCCGCCTCCAGCAGGGCCAGAAGACGGGGCGCCTGCGGCGGCCACAGCTACACACACACACACACACACGTGTGTGTGTATAGATATATAATTTTAAATATATATATATATATTTTTTTTCCTTTTCTTTCCCCCTTTTGAATTTCTGCCTCAGTCTGCGGAGTTCCTCTGGCGAAATGGTCCCTCTCTGCTCCATCCTGCCCCACAGCAGGGGCACCTGTTGAGTCTGGGGGTGGGGAGCTGGTTCGCGATATTTGGTCGCAGAGGAGAGGAGGATTTTGGTTTCTTGGAGATCGGAGTCTCCCTTTGCCTTGTGTTTTGAGGATGGGACAGCAAGCTTAAGAGTTGTATGCACTGACAGTGGCTTTTGTGGCTCTCCTGCTTTAGTTTATTGTTTTGTGTGTAGGAATACTCCAGGCAGTCTTCCTCTTCATAAAATAAAAAGTTTGTCTTTCTGGTTGAGACGCCTGCTTATCCTCTAAGCATTCAGGTAGTATATATTTGTTGAGTGACCTGGTCCATGCTAGGTCCTGTCCTGAGTCTGGGGTTGCAGGTGGGACAGAGAGGAGATAGACGACACAGACCCTGTTGCCTTTACGGCTGGGGAGACAGCTAACTTAGGACTCTGTAGCCTTTAGATTTGGCTGTTAACTCCCCACCCTAGATTTCACTTGTACAAACACCTGCTAGAATTCTGGAACTAATACATTCTCTCTGTTTAACCTGCTTTCATACCATGCCCTGCTCAGGGTGCTTCTGTTCTGGGTAGATACAAAGACACCACGTAGGCTAGATTCTTCTGCAGCTTTTGGTGCTGACACTACCAACACATAATTTTGACCAAAGAGCTTTTTGGACTTTACTTTTCCAGGAGAAGTAATTTCACTATTAAAATACATGCTTCTATTTCTTTTTCCAGCTCAGCAAGTTCGGATGGGTACAGCTTAGTCACTTACCATATATAATGCCCAAACCAGGTTTTATTGTGGGGATATACCTTGAGCTATTGAAACCTGTATCACTTAGTTGAGCCAGTTAATTCCAACTATTTTATTATACGAGCCTGTGTGTGTGTTTATATAGCATGTAATTTTCACCTCAGAGTTCTAATGGGTTTGATGTTAACAGTCAGTACCTCTCCATCACCTACAGCCGGATCACAGTAATTGTTAAGTAGTTGATGAGAAACTTTAAAATTTTTTTAAAGGTCTCATTCTGCCACGCAGGCTAGAGTGCAGTGGCATTGACCTCTCTGTGTCTCAGCGATCCTGCCACCTCAGCCTCCTGAGTAGCTGGGACTACAAGTGTATGCCACCATGAACAGATTATTATCATTATTATTATTTATTATTTTTTTTTAGTAGAGACAAAGTTTTGTTATGTTGCCCAAGCTGGTCTTGAACTCCTGAGCTCAAGAAATCCTTCCGCCTTGACCTCCCAAAATGCGGGGATTACAGGCAAGCCACTGCTCCTGGCCAAGAAACTATTTTTATGATATAAATTCCTTGCTGCAGAGGAAGTCTGGGTAGTCATCTGCTCAGCATTTAAACTTGATTGTGAAATTGTCATGTTACACATGGTTGTTATTTACACAATTATTTTATTAGATTTTTTTAAAAGGTCAGTTTTTTAGTAACCCTTAGTGGCAATTCAGTTTTCCTCATAGCCTTTTCCTTTTTTATTACCTGATTAAAAAGTTTTATTCAAGACAGAGAGCTAGCTTTCAGTTTATCAGTGTATTTAGTAATTTTCTGTCACTGATTGCTGTAAAAAGACATGGAAGATTTAATCCTCTACCGAGATTTGCTTTACTTAATTTGTTTCTTATTTTAGGAAGACCAACACTGTCATCTGAAGTTGGAATCATCATATGTGATATCGCTAATCCAGCCTCGCTTGAAGAAATGGCTAAACAGGCAACAGTTGTCCTCAACTGTGTAGGACCAGTAAGTAATCAGCTCCTCTTTGTATCAGAACAAACAATCCATTCATTTCTAGCAAAATATTCCAGAGGAACATAAGGGCAGAGGACAGAATTGTTGGTTGAAGGCCTTAACCACATCTGGGGAGTTTTTTCTTCTTGTGAGGAGCAAATGGACATGACCAAAGCCTCCTCTGAGAGGGAGTGTGACAGGCACTCTATGACACTGTCCTTAGGGAATGTGTGCTGGTTTGTTGATTGGTTACATCTGTGATTGTCAGCATTTTCTTTGCTTTTTACTGTATGCCCCTTCAGTAAAAATGTTTGGGTGTGTATCCCCAGTATATTATTTATAAATTATATTCTTGTATTAATGTATAAATATATATATATATATATTATTTGTTAATTGTTTGTCAAGAGAAACTATTTCTTAGCCCTCATATTCAGATGTCATAGTTCATGAACCCAAGTCAGTGACAAACTTCTAGGTAATTCAACCTGAAGAAATTCTTTGTATTCCAAGATCACTTTCTATTCCAAGATACCAGCCTTCTTCATCTCTCAAAATCTTTCTCGGGACCGTAATTTCTGTAGAAATCTGCATATGCCTTCTTTCTTGGTTCAGCCACACCAAACTTACAGAGAGCTGCAACCCCCAGGGATACCAGGAATGCTCCAACCATATGAAATCGCAGACGCCTGGCCAGAAGGCCACGCCTCTGAGCTTTTGGCAAAACGTTGGAAGCCACGGTAGTTACTGTTCTTGATACGAGTGCCAACCTCAGCCCCAATGTCCTTCCAGACTGATGGACATAAATATATTTTTAAATGCACAAAAAGACTAAAAAAGGACTCATTATTGAATAAATAAATATTGAAACTTTATGTAAAATGCACAATTGTAGGCACCTGGGACACAGTGGTGACAGAAGCAGAAAGTCCCTCATGGAGATTACATTCCTGTGCGGAAGACAGAAAAATAGGATTGTAATAGGAGGTAATAAGTGCTTTGAAGAAAAGTGAAACAGAGAAAGGAGAAAAGGTATTGGCATATCAGTGTTTTAAGGTGGATGGTCAGGGAAGGTTTCTGTGAGGAATTGACATTAGAGCAGAGCTCTGAATGAAGTGAGAGCAAATCGGATGAATCTTTTGAGGAGACACTGTTCCAGGGAGAGCAGGTACAAAGTTCCTGAGATTTGCGTGTGTTTGGCAAGACTGAAGAATGTCAGAGGCCTGTGACTGGACAGGGCAGAAAGGGGGAAGGTGAATGGGAGAGAGACCCAGGAGCTGGGCCATGTAGGAGCTTATAGGCAATGGTCAGGATTTGGATTTTATTTTTTCCGGGTGTAACCAAGAGGCATTGAATGGTTGAAAGTAAGGGCTTCATCTGATTTAGATGTGAAGTTCTTTGGCTTCTGAGTGGAAAAAACAGATAATAAGGGACATGCAATGGAATGGTCCAAGCATAAGCAGCCCCACGGTAGCAGTGGTAGAGGTGCTGAGAAGGAGTTAGGTTGGCAGAGGTGCTGGGAAGGAGTTGGGTTGGTCGAGGTGCTGGGAGGGAGTTGGGTTGGCCGAGGTGCTGAGAGGGAGTTGGGTTGGCGGAGGTGCTGGGAGGGAGTTGGGTTGGCGGAGGTGCTGGGAAGGAGTTGGGTTGGTTGAGGTGCTGGGAAGGAGTTGGGTTGGTACAGGTGCTGGGAAGGCGTTGAGGTCGGAGTGTGTTTTCAAAAGAGAACAGGTTTTGAATGTTCTTGAGAAAAAGTCATCAAGTCACAGGCCATCAGACTTTTGGCCCGTGTAACAAGGTGAATGTTGGGGACATTTAGTGATCTGAAGAAGCCATCACAGTTGACAAGATATTTAAAAATTAAACATCTAAACTATTAATTTTTAGGGAGAGCAAAAGGTTTTTGAATTGCTGTTACAAAAAAATGTTGTTTATTGGATTTCTCTCATTCTTAACTGGCTTAGATTCCATCTGTCAGGTCCATTGCTCCACTCTATAGTGTACAGCCTTAAGTGTCTCCCTTGCCTTTTTCTCCTCAGTACTCTGAAAAAGTCTCAGCCCTGGTTATTCTCTGCCTACTCGTCACCTGAATCTGAGTAACCCATTGTGGCTGGAGAAAAGTGTAACCCCATGCTAACTGGCCACACTTCAAAGACGTGTTTCCAAACCGCGTGTGCTCTGTTTCCCTCAGGAATTGTCTCTCCTGCTTTCTGGAGCAGCTTCACAACCCTTCTCCTTGCTCTTTTAATATCCCATCTCTCTTTCCTTGTTCTTATCTGGTGACTTTTTTTCTTTTTTTTAACTATGAAAGTAGAAGCTGGTTAATAACAGAATTTCTTTCTTCATTTTCCTACCACCAGATCTACCTGTCTGCCAATCTGCACCGTACCTGTAGTGTGCCATATGTCTTGTCACAAGGCAAAACTGCTCCTGTTCCTGTTGGGCACAGTGTTCAAAGACTTTATGTTTATAGTTACACATTATCTTGTTATCAATTTTCCCCTCTTTACTGGATTATTTCTTTTTTGTGTGTGCCGTCTATAAGTTTATTGTCTTTACCTGGAAAATCCTCATAGAAAATTGTTCGGTTTAGCTCTCAGCAGCCCGCTCCTGAGCTCTGAAGAAGCTCGCCTTCTTTTGAGCTACCCGATCTTTCTTCTGAGCAAGGGACATTTTGGGACGGTTCCACCTCTTCTTTTTAACTTCTTTCTTGGGCTTCTTTTCATAAACTGGATTCTCTCGTAAAGCAGCATGAGCTTTCTTATACATCTTCTCCATCATGTCTGGAGTTACGCTGTTCTTTATGTATTGAGAGAACTGTTTCTTGTAAGCATCTTCATCTTCTTCATTAAGTAGTGCCTGTCATCTGCAACATTCCGGTCCATGGCGTGCTTCCGGTGTACTTCTGCATTAAATTCCTTGCTTTCAGAATCATAACCAGGGAATCGTTTGGCACTGTGAGGGATAGACAAGCCTCCATCCACAGCTCCATTCAGGGTGCCAAAAATTTTATTGCCAGTGGTAGTCCTGGCAAGGCCTGCATCCAGATAGCAGGTAAAGGCACCTGGCTGACCATCAGCGCTTTCCACGTGGTATTCTTCACCAGTCACCTCCACTTGGCCTTCATAGATCTTGTCCAGGCCAAACCTGTTGAGAAGCCTGCAGGCCAGCAGCAGGCCAGTACAGTACGCTGTAGCAGAGTTTGTCAGGCCAACCTTCACACCGCATTTTGGCAGTTCATGTGCACGTGCTGCACAGACTCTCATATCCCCTTTATACGGGCATCAGCAATCTGACAAATGATATCTCTGCTACATGAACTATCATCCTGTATTTGGGTGTATTTATTTTTATCCTGTATCGTCAGGTGTTTTCGAGCATAGTGATCAGCTTTACCCTCTCCTTGTCTTCTAAATTTCACTTGGTATCTCTTAAAGTAGGTCTTATTCTTAACAACTTTAACAAACCCCATCCTGTGCAACAGAGACTCACATCCATGGCTTGACAGAGACCTGCAGGCCCAGCAGTGCTTGGGGGTGGAAAAGGTAGATTATTTCTATCAGCATTTAAATATGTCGTATCTTCATCTTTAAAAGTTGCTTGATTCTACATCCCTTCCAACTACTGCATTTTTGTACCCCTTTTTAACAACCTCCTTGAAAGGATTCTCATGACCCACTATCTCTACTTCCTCACCTGCTACTCTGTCTTAAACCACTCTTATTAAACTTGTGTTTTCCTTTCTACTCCAGTGAAAGCACTCTGCCAAAGTGCCTTCCTGTGAAATCCAGTTCTCATCCGAAAGCTTTCAGCATTTCATCCAGTTGACCACTTTCTTCTTTCTTCACTTGGCTTCTACATTGTCATCCTCTTGCAGTTTTCCTCCTGTCTACCAGCTTCACCCTGGAAGTCCTAGCCTCCTCCATAGCATCTTTTTATCCTCCCGGCTTTAAATGCCTGAGGCCTCAGTGTTCAAGCTTTAGAAACTCAATAACCTTATGGAGGCATTAGGCTTTGGTATAATGAAGATGACTGACTGAAGAGGGTAGTGGCCCCTCTGTGTTATGAAACTCTCCCACAGCCCTCAGGATACCGGTTGTGCCCTGTCTTCAACACGTGACCACTTAACATGGCCCAGGGAGTGTCTTATATAAGTCAGTCCATATGTTAACTGTTAATTTTATCTTTTTCTTTGTGTTTTTTATAAAAATTAACATCAATGAAAGTTCTAATATTTACCTCCACACCCAGTGGATCATTCTGTGCTTCCCTTGGGGGAAGTACACCTACTTGGGAGACCACTGGGTTAGAAGATGGAGCACTGAGGGCCAGGCATGGTGACTCACACCTGTAATCCCAGCACTTTGCAAGGCTGAGGTGGATGGATCACTTGAGGTCAGGAGTTTGAGACCAGCCTGGCCAACATGGAGAAACCCCATCTCTACTAAAAATAGAAAAAATTAGCCGGGCGTGATGGCAGGTGCCTATAATCCCAGCTACTTGGGAGGCTGAGGCAGGAGAATCTCTTGAACCCAGGAAGCAGTGGTTGCAGTGAACTGAGATTGCGCCCCTGCACTCCAGCCTGGGCAACAAGAGTGAAAGTCTACCAGAAAAAAAAAAAGAAAGTGGAGCATTGGGAGCAGGATTGTAGTTTTAACCTCTAAACTAACTGACCTCATAGGGGAGAGGTGTCTTCCTTGAGATGAAGGATTGCTACTCTGTGTTCACCTATCTCAGACCAGCCCAGGGTACTAATGGAGAAAAATCTAACAACTTCGTAAAATGGGAATAAGTTAGTGAGAAGTCTCAACTCCAGATTACTCAAAGAAGTGGGCCAGATGTGACAAAATGCAGTAAAAGTGAGGAATGTGCAGACTGTGGCAAATAGGAAAATGTGTTTTCTTTCCATAAGGAACTACTGTTATTTTAATAAGCACATTAATACTTCACTGCAGCTTGCCGGTACTTGTAGATGAACTGCCTAGCTGATGGGCTCACTAGCCAGGCAAGAGAAGTGAGCCTGAGGCTGTAAGGCAGAGCCTGGAGGAGCTGGCAGATGGCCAGGCAGAATGGAGGGAAGATGTTCCAGGTAGTGGAAGCAAGCACACTGGGTGTGAAGCCGCATGCTTGGGGCGTTACATGGAATTCAGAACTGCTGGGACATGAGAATTAAGGGGCTGTGGTAAGGTATCATGCTAAGGACTTTTTGTGACATGCTAAGAAGTTTGGACTTCGTACTGTATCCTGAAGGGTTTTAAGAGCGGATATTTTGTAGGAGTGGGCCATGAGGAAAGGTGACATCAGATTTTAGAATAACAATTTGTTACATATGAAAAAATGCTCATCATCACTGGTCATTAGAGAAATGCAAATCAAAACTACATTGAGATACCATCTCACGCCAGTTAGAATGGTGATGATTAAAAAATCTGGAGACAACAGATGCTGAAGAGGATGTGGAGAAATAGGAACACTTTTACACTGTTGGTGGGAGTGTAAATTAGTTCAACCATTGTGGAAGACAGTGTGGCGATTCCTTAAGGACCTAGAAATAGAAATTCCATTTGCCCCAGCAATCCCATTACTGGGTATATATCCAAAGGATTATAAATTGTTCTACTATAAGGACACGTGCACACGAATGTTCATTGCAGCACTGTTTACAATAGCAAAGACCTGGAACCAACCCAAATGCCCATCGATGATAGACTGGACAGGGAAAATGTGGCACATATACACCATGGAATATTATGCAGCCATCAAAAACGATGAGTTTGGGTCCTTTGTAGGGACATGGATGAACCTGGAAACCATCATTCTCAGCAAACTGACACAAGAGCAGAAAATCAAACGCCACATGTTCTCACTCATAGGCGGGTGTTGAACAATGAGAACACATGAATACAGGGAGGGGAGCATCACACACTGGGGTCTGTTGGGGGGAAATAGGGGAGGGACAGCGGGGGGTGGGGAGCTGGGGAGAGATAGCATGGGGAGAAATGCCAGATAAAGGTGAAGGGGAGGAAGGCAGCAAATCACACTGCCACGTGTGTACCTATACAACAATCTTGCATGTTCTTCACATGTACCCCAAAACCTAAAATGCAATTTAAAAAAAAAATAAGCCAATCCTCTAAAAAAAAAAAAAAAGATTCCTTTCAAACATGGTTATCTTTTGAAGTAGCATTGCACTTAAAATTGGAAGCCCTTCCATATCAGGGAGAAATCATATCTATGAAACTAGAGAGGCTGTTCAGATGACTGCACACCAGCAGTCCTTCCTGATTTTGTCAGTAGTAATGTCATAAAGACAATTGTCCAATTTTGTGAATCTTGTAGGTTTGGTTTTTTGTTTTTGTTTTGTTTTCAAATATAGTATTGTACAAAAAGAAAAAAAAACCAATTTGTTGTTTATTTGGAGATGGGGCTAGCTGGCTGCCATGTAACCAGTTAGGGCCTATTTGTAGTAAATTGGATGAGTGTCGACAGGGTCTGAACTAAGATACAGTTGTGTAGGGGAGAGGAAACCGGATAAAACTTTGTGACTTCCAATATGGGTATTGTGAAAGACTGCTTCCAGATTTTTTTTTTTTTTTTGAGGCGGGATCTTGCTCCGTCACCCAGGCTAGAGTGCAGTGGTGCAGTCTCATCTCACTGCAACCTCTGCCTCCTGGGTTCAAGCAATTCTCCTGTCTCAGTCTCCTGAGTAGCTGGAACTACAGGTGCATATCACCAACCCCAGCTAATTTTTGTATTTTTAGTAGATATGAGGTTTCACCATATTGGTCAGGCTGGTCTTGAACTCTTGACCTCAAGTGATCTACCTGCCTTGGCCTCCCAAAGTGCTGGGATTACAGGCATGAGCCGCTACACCCAACCTGCTTCCAGGTTTTAACCTGAGAATTATGTGGGGAGTAATGCCATTAATAATAACAAAAAAGAATAAATCTGAATGCCATGTGCCTGGTACAGTGCTAAGTTCTTTGCATTCTCTTATTTCATCCTTGCAACTACCCAGGGAAGTCGGTGTTGTTATTAATCACCATTCTTTGATAGAAGAGGTTGATGCTTAGAGAAAGTGACTTGCCCAAGGTCACACAGCTAGTGGCTACAGAGCCTGGATATAAGTCTGGCCTGACTTTAAAATCCATACTCTAGACCACTCTGCTCTTCAGCCATTTGCACAGTTTTGTCTCAGAGTCCTCCCTTATTTGAACACATCAGGAAGATGTTAGAAGTGGGACCTGGGCAGGCTGAATTGGAGGCTATATTTTGTTTTTTCTTTTTATTTTTTTGAGATGGGGGGTCTCACTTTGTTGCCCAGGCTAGAGTGCAGTGGCATGAACACAGCTGACTGCAGCCTCAACCTCCTGGGCTCAAGTGATCTTTCCTCCTCAGCCCTGCAAGTAGCTGGGACTACAGGCGCATGCCACCACATCTAGCTAATTTTTGTATTTTTTGTAGAGACTGGGTTTTACTGTGTTGCTCAGGGTGGTCTCTAGCTCATCAGCTCAAGTGATTCACTCACCTTGGTCTCCCAAAGTGTTGCAATTACAGACATGAGCCATTGTGCCTGGCCGTGTGTGTGTGTGTGTGTGTGTGTGTGTGTGTGTGTGTGTGTGTATTTTTCTTAGGGAGACAGGGTCTCAAAGTGATCCTTCTGGCTCAGCATCCCAAAGTGCTGGAATTACAGGTTTGAGCCACCACACCGGCCTGCAGGCTACATGTTGACGCATGTCCTAGGAAGTAGAGGAGGAGGAGAAATAGGTTTGGAGAGAGATGATGAATTCAGTTTTAGACTTGTTGAAATTGAAGATCTGCTAGATACTTTGCATCAAGACAAAAATACAAATAACACATTGTTTGTATATGTGTTTTATAAGTGAGAAAATCAAAGTGAAGAGAAAATAAAAGGAAAATGTAGGCAAAGTGAAATTAAGTTTTATGTGTGACTCATGCCGCATGCCCTGTGCTGTCCCTGCTCCTGACCTTTAACAAAAACCACAGATAGGGAAACCTTATTAGTGAACAACTCTAGACATAGGGGTTGGAAGTCGCCAGCTCAGATTTTATTGAAGCTGGGAGAGTAGGTGAGATTTCCTGGGAGAATGTCCAGGGCAGTGATTCTCCATCTTTGAAGTACACAAGAATCGCCTGTGAGGATTATTTAAAATGCAGCTTACTGGGGTCTACCTCAGAAAGCCTGACTCTGGGGGTCTGGAGTGGGACTGAGTAACCAGCATGTGACCCAGGAGATTCCAAAGCAGGTGGACTAATGGCCAATTTCAGAATTTTTGGGGTAAAATAACACCAAGGGGCCCCCCTTCCTCATTTAACTTCTCATCCTTTTGCTCTGTAATTTCTCTACATACTTCATCACACTCCTTCTCCTCTCCAGAATCTTCTGAATTCTTGTCCTCATCGTCTGTCTGAAACAGCTCCAGGGCAGAAGGCACCAAAGCCAAACAGACCACACAGGAATACAAATATCTTTTACTCCTCCTCATTGTGCCTTCCTTAAAGTAGTACCCACTGTTTCCCATTCTTCCATGGTCAGTGCTCCCTGCTTGGGAAACCACATCAAAAATTCTTCAGCCGCGTCAAAAAACTGTGTTAAACTCAGCACCAGCTTCAGTTCCTCCTCTTTTAAGCAGCT